TTGTTGAAATATTTGTGAATTTGAATATTCTGAAAGAAGCGGTTTGAGTTGAAATAATAAAAAAATGCTTTAGTTTTGAATAAACGACAATAAAAAAGTAACAGCTCTGAGCTTTAGGATTGAAGTTATCAGCTAACGAAATGAAAAACTATTGATTTATTGGAGACCAAGCTCAAAAAATTTCTTTTCAAAGGCAGACTATCCACCTTTGGCAATAACATTTCGAAAAATATAATTTCGAAAGCTGTACAAGCTTTCTAAGCTTTTGACAGCAAGAAAAACTAGCTAACTATATATACATATTTTCTATACCCAAAACCTTAAATTTACTACTTACCCCTTTAAATCATAAACCCATCTGTTTTCTCATATATACTCCCACATATGCTACTCCTGTCTGATGCTTCCAAAAGCATATATGCCAAAACACATTTGTCCCCCCCACAGGCACGCCCAATACAACATTTAGTATGAAATTATTTGAGATCCCTAACTGAAACTGTTCAAAACGCCTTAAAATATGCAACATTTCTTTGCCATATGTCAAAAGCATACGCTTACCTTTCACCATTGTTGACCGAGCGCAACTCAACCGGCAGCTTAATACACATTACACATACAATTGCACTCAGCATTTTAGCAATATATCTCTATCAAATTACCAGCCTTGGCAAATTTTACATTCGACATACATTCGTCAGTTGCGCAGTTCAGCGGCTGACGGCAAGCCATTTAACTAAATTGCTTTGTCCCACGCATATATATATGTATGAAAAAAAATTTTGTTTGTATGCATGCATGTATATGTGTATGTTTGTATATGACTCGTGCGACCATGAGCTGCTGTCTGTCATTGTTATTATTTAGTTGCTCATAACCGTAAACGCAGATAATGTAAAAAGGGTTCTAAATGCATGCAGATAGATATAAGAGTGTGTGTATGCGTTTGACACACTGCCACAATCGTTAAATATAATACTTGTATTATCCTTAATTTAGCATTGAAATCTTTTATTTTTTTTCGCAAGTCAAGCTATAAAGTTTCATTCAAAATTAAAGTGACGTGCTTATGAAGATGTGTATAACTGTATATATGTATATGGTATATAGTAAATTATTATATACATATACTTATTTATTTATATGTACGCCCAACTATTTTGTGTTTTTCCCCAAGTGTCGCTAATATACACTATGGGTTTTGCACAGCTCATCTTTTATTCTACGCATTTGCTTTAAGTGCCTTTGTGTTCCACGTTTTCTGACAACTTTCACTTTAGTTTTTGTGGGCTTTTTTATCATAGCTTGCATTTTTTCGTTTTTGGGTCACCTTTTTTGCTATCTCAGCTGTTCCGCGTCGTTTACGAAATTTCCGCGCTTAAAAGTATGCAACCTTTTGTTAGTTCAGCTGTAGTACTTTTGGCTTTGCTCTTTCATGTTAATTATTCGTGTACGTGTGCACTAGCTTGTGTGTGTATGTGTTGCGGTGGGTAAAGTAATTCAAATTTGCCGTTATACAACGGTTACTTAGCTGCCTTTGAGAGATATATACAGTTCACTTGATGACAATTAGCAGAAAAAAATTAAATTATAACATTAAGGGGAATGAATGCTTGAGAAAAACCATAAGATGTATGGAAAATGTTGAGGGTATCAGGGGCTTCAAAGTTTTTTTAACTTTCCAAGCCAGTTATGCCAAACTAAAAGCTTTTTCTCTGAGTCATAAAGAAACTTCTGCATAATTATCGGTGCTTAGAGGTCGCAAACTGCATACTTTCAAAAGAAAATGATGAGAAAGCAGTAATTGATATTAAGAAAAAAACAAGTAGGTATTTCCGGTATACGGTGATCAAACTATAGAATGGTAGAAACCTGAAGGTCTGTCAAAACTCAAAACAGATATTTTATATTGCATTTACTGAACCACACCCTATCTTTTATTTACTAGAATATTATTTGGAATACCGAAATAATACAGTAAGACATTGGAATGAGTTGAAATTATTATCCAGCTGTGCGCAGTCCGACTATTATATAATATCGGTTCTTTACAACCTCATTTTCATGCTATTTTAAGACAGATCCCCGTAGGGTCTAAAGTTTACTTATGAATGTCGACATGAGGAAGCAAGCAATTTTACTTGTTATCATAGTCTCGATTTCAATATTATGAAGGAATATTCGGAATCTTTGCGGTCGAATAGAGGTTGACTCCGATAATTTTTTATGCCACTGAATGACTTAATCAGTCTTCAATGTATGGAAACGACCATCAGTAAAATATTTCGGGTAAAAATTTTAAATTATTCTCTTTTGCGGTTTCTAAATTCATGAAAACTATAAATTATAAGGGATTTTAAGACACTCGTCTGACCAGAAATTTAGATATTTAGGCTTACTTGCATTAATTAGAAAATAAAAAGTGCTTTTTTGATTAGAAATCAGAAAAAATAAATAATAAGATTCAAAAAATATATATAGCGACATAACCTCAAATATAAGACACTGTCTAAAAAGTCTCATTTTGGATTCTTTCGGAACATATTTTTGTATAATTAAGCTGCCTTCAATATGTAGCAAAATGGTAAACACTTTTGGGCTTATAAAGACTAGAGCTGTATTAATATACAAAAGTCAAACTTTCTTTTTTATCTCTATTAAATAACTGTATAAACTCTGCATGTAAAAAAAATGTAAAAATACACACGACACTTTCATTGTTTATTAAAAAAAGTATGTGCCTACTTTTCTATTATTTAAAAAATAGCAGTTTACGTAATAGCAAAAAAACGCAACAAAAATGTGAATGAAAAAGCACAGAAAATTACATTTCATACAAATTTAACTGCCTACATACATGCAGACATACACAGACATATATGTGTGAATAGATAATGCTTGAGGGCACCTTTCAGCAGCATCCAAAGCGCTTATAAAGGGAATTAGCGAAATAAAAAAAATTTCAAAAAGCAACAACAAATTAAAGCCAATGCTAAAATAGCCAAAAAAAAAATCGCAGCAGTCCCAACTACAACAACTACCGCGATTACACATAGTTAAAACTAGATATCATACACACACACGCATATCTGCTTTGGGGACTGCAGCAAAGTGTGTCAAGGTTGCTTGCCAGCAGCACGTTGCATGCCACACGCGTACTCGCATGTGAAGCAATGTGTCTAACTCACTAAAATATGTGAATGTGTGGGTGACTTTGTTAAAAATCGCAGGTAAGATAAGCGCGCACACTTGCTTACATAAATTATGCTGTGTGCATATGTATTTGTGTTTGTATGCGTGTCTTTGTTGCTTTTGTAAGCCACTTGGCTTATTAAATTTACAAAATCAGAACTAATGTTTTTTTAATTCGTCTCTAGGTGTACGCAAGGCAATGTTGTTAAGCATGAGTGGCTTTAATGAGTATTTGTTTGTTGTTGTGTTTTTTGTAGTAGTCGCATTTCACATTCGTTGTAAGCACGCTCTCATGCACGAAATTAAATAAAATGTCACTTTGCCATCTTTGGAAAACTTAAAAAAAAATTATTTTTCTGGACTAAAGTGGGATGCGAGTTTAAAGCACTTTCTAAGCTGTTTTTGTCTATATTTCTGTAGTCTTTTAGTGCGAAGAGATTTTTATTCTCTGAACGGGCTGTAGGGTAATCCGTTGCGCAGTTTATAATATCCAGAAGGAAACGTCGGAGATCCTATAATATACATATATATATATACATACACAAGTATATATATATATAAATTATCAACATAACGAGCGGAGTCGATTTTGCCATGTCCGTCTCTCCGTATATACGCGAAATAGTCGCTCAGTTTTTGATAATTTGGTCTGAAATTTTGCTTATGTCGTTTTCTCTTAAAGAAGCTGCTCATTTGTCAGAACCGCCGATGTCAAACTACTATAGCATACAGCTGCCATACAAACTGAACAATCAAAATCAGGGTCTTGTAAGGAAAACTTCTTTAGTTGAGAAGATATCTCCACGAAATTTTACACGAATCATTGTCAAATCAAAGTCTATTAGATATTTATGTGAACTGAGAGAGAGCTCAGTTTATCAATGTTCTCTTGAGCAGTACCTTCTCAATTTTTCATATATTATCTTAAATTTTTTTCTCGATTTTCCCCAGCTCAAACAAAAAACAAAATTTAATTTATTCTAATTTTCATTCTAATTGTGCTAAGGGCTGGTAATTCACACTACAAAACCAAAGTTTTTCTTTCGCTAACTCTACTTCAAATACGCTAAACAGACACCGGCACAAGCAAACAAACCAAATTAATGTAATTAAAAATCACTTATACGCCCTGTGGCACCAACGCCACAAACACGAAAAACTTCACTGCGCGTCTTTTCTTTTATATATTTTATTCATTTTTTTTTCTTTTTAAGCATTATAGCATAATTTTATTGTGCGCTTTTACAAATTTATTATTTTTATACTTTTGTTCTTCATTTGCTTTGCCTGTGAGTTGTAAGTGCATTTTTATTGCAGACCTCGCGCAGACGGTGAAGCGCGAAAAAGTACAAAAAAAAATTATAAAATTTGCGCTGTGTTTCCTTACGATATTTGCGTGAGAGTAAGAAAATCTAATTAGGCAAGCGCATAAAAAGCTAATAACCGCTATGCTTGCAATAAAAGCAGTACACAGAGCGTTGATTATCAAAGCATTATTGTAGAGTTATAAGCTTAAGAGCGCACAAGTAGAAAGGCCTCTCGCCTAAGTAGTAGAGAGATATGAATTAAAAATTTAAGCAAAGAAAAGCAGGTGTGTAGTTGAACCAGCACTAACGTGCGCTCATTGTATGGCCACTAGTTGAAGACAAAATGAAAAGCTGTTGCAGTTGAATGACTTTCTCCTAAAGTGCCCATCACAACACGAATGTGTCTAACATATTTTTTATATATATACTCTTCTCTTCTGTTGCTTTCTCTTGCAACACTTTCCATAAAAGTTTAAGTTTTCTAAATTTTTATTTTTTCAGATCTCCCCTCGTCATCATCCTCCCTGCATTCCACATATCACAGCAGTAAATACAATACGAATTGTACAAACGATGAGACAATAGTGATGGAGCCTGGCTGCGAAATCACCAATAAACGCTGCCAATGCTGGCCAACGTTACGCGTGTGTAGCACAAATACTATCGACGATACGGATGCACCGGCGACGATAGATATACGATGGCACTTCAAAACATTGGAGGTGAGTAAAAAATAGTTATTTGTATAAATATAAGCTACGGCTGCACCGCAGCTATAATACACAGACGCATTTTTTATAGCATAGAAGGGTATTTTTCAAGTTATCTATATGTTAGTAAAGACAATAAGCATCTTCGAAAGAAACTAAAATTGTTAATAAATAATTTCTAAAATTAAAAAACATCAGCTGTTACCTAATTAGAATGCAAAACATTTATCGGAAATTTCCGTTATGATTTTTATTCCTTATAAAATATTGCATAATTATAGTCGCAAATGTTGCTCATACGCCGCGACCAAAATCCTTTACACACGCCTTTCCCAAAGTACGAACCAAGGTTACGTATACGCCATGTCACATAATTCTATAAATGCATTGCCAAAAAGCTGAAATTAATAAATTCATTGATTTCGACCCTCCAAACCACAAAATGGAACCTAGAAACCTAAAAACCATTCTTCTTATTTACTAGTGAATGAAATGGATATGTAATATAATTAAAGCCGAATATGAGGCAGTAACCAAGCAACACCACCAAGCACACACACATCAAAGTGCACTTGTATTCATAGCTTGCACTATAAGCTTTTATGCACACAGAGCATATTTGTATTTGTATATGTGTGTACATAGCATGTGTGTGTATGAGCCTTAGTTCTCATTTCGCTGAAATCACATTTTCATTTGTGCATTTTCAAAAGGCTGATGTCAAAGAATGTGCCAGAGTTGAAAGTATGTGTGCACATGTAAGTTTGAGTATGTGCGTTAAAATTACAAATGCAATAATGTACAGTTCGCTGAATTAATGCAACAACTTCAAGCGAAAAGACACACACACGCTATCATGCCACAAAGTCATACACCAGATTTAGATGGCTATCAATTTATCAGTTTATGCGCACGCCATGTATGTGTGTACTTGTGCAGGTTGTTGTTGGTGTGCTTATGAATCAGCAAAATCAGCGGCAATACAAGCAAAAGCAGCAGCATCATCATCAAAGGTGGTTTTGTGCGGTCTATCTATGGTTTGGGGTGAACTGGCTGACTTTGCTCGTTTCTGTTAGCGCATATAATGTTGCTTTTGTTATTGCATTACATCAACTTGTTGTTTTTGGGTTCTTATGTTGACACAAAATCGATTGCAAATATGTGCTATAGACTTTAAAAGCATATATGTGACTTATATGCGCAAATATTAGGATGGTTCTAATATATATTTATAATTGAGATTCGCGTTTTTTTAATCGTTATTAAGGTGATTCTAATATATTTTTATAATTGAGAATTGCTTTTTTTTTAATCGATATTTTTCAAAAGTAGATTAGCTATAATCGATAACTTAACAGTCTTTTTTTAGACATGGAAATGAGGAACAAAAACTGTAGATGAAAAATACTATAAGAACGTCGCTAATGTACACAACTATTTACATTACTACAAACTGATATGCTTTAAAATTAGAATTTTAGTGCCTATAATCGATACCTAATCGATTTTGTTTAGACATTGATGTCATGGACAAAGTTTGTAAATGCAAAATAAAATATTAAGAGCGTCCCTAATGTATATTACCACATATCGTTGCGGTAGCAGATAATAGCTTTTTTAAATCCGATTTTAAAATTACGAAACTATTTTGTTGAAGCGTTGCCTTGACGTAGCTATCATTATAGATGTGAGCTTTGAAGCTCATTTGCTTCTATTGAGTTTAATTAAAAGCGCTAATTGATATAACTCATTATGCAAATTTAACATAATTGTGTCAAGTTAATTCTCAATATAATTTGCGCTGACGTAAAGTGCTGAAAATTAGTCAAAAAGTATTTTCACAAAAGAGAAGTGATTATATATGTCTTTTTAGATATTTTTAGGGCTCTTACCTTTTCAGCGGCAAAGGTTCTTAATTTTTAGATGTGTTCTTTTTTAGGAGCACGCATAATCGATAGGATTATGATATATAACTTCTAACACAAAGCACTTAGAACAATCGGAACTCATTATATTCAGTTGGATTACTTCTGTAAGTGAGATGCCGCTTAGCCTCTTTAAAACATTACTTAATCTAAAGCTCTATAGGTTCTCTCTCATATCATCATACATATCGTTTTAAATTCAACTGAACGCTGAAAATATTGTCAGTAAAGAGCTATTACTTTATTTAGTACGCTTTCTATTTATCGCGTTTTATTTTCTTTAAAACACTTTTCTTCTTTCAAAAAATCTACCGAAACTATTTGATGTACTCAAATTATCCGATTAAGCTAAAAAAAAAGTCTTACAAATATAAACGCTTATTTCTCTGAAACTATTTTCCGGCACAATTTCGCAGCAATCAATAGTTCGGAAAGAACTATTATAGGAGTTAAAATAATGTTTGTAGTAGATTCTTAATACTTCAGATATTATATACCTTTTAAGTTCTTTAATTTTAACTAAAAATCTCTTTAAAAATTAGACAAATAAAAATATTGTATTTAAAATCTACAAAAAATTTCCTTTAACTTAGTTCCACTTTTCAAAGCAATTTTAGTGAGTAATATCGATTAATATTGCAAATACTTGTAGATAAGCGGTAGAAGATAAAAAATTATCTATAATTAAGTAAAATTTCTTTAACCTCGAAAAAATAATACTCCAATTTTCGATTCTGCATTGAGCCTCATGTTACAGCTATTCCAAAAATTGTCATTTTTCATTTCCAGGACTGCCAGTTAAATTTACAAAACCTGATTAAAATCGAAATGGAATTCGATGAAGATTACACAATTTCGCCGAGCACCACGTTCACGTATAAAAAATTGAGAAGGAAGCGCAGAGCGTTAAGGAAACGCAGGTGAGTAACCTTTTTCTATTTTTGGTATTTCTATTAATATTATAGAAATTCAACATAATCTATATTAAGTTTATATCGTATACACTTGTCTACACTTATCTGCCTTTTGGCTGATACTTTACCATAAATAAATTTCCTCTACATTGTCGAAAAATCACTATAACATATTTATATAAATTTTACATATAACATATGGTACACTTGTAATAGTGCTTACCAGCACACATTGACTAGAAGTACACAAAAAGAGATAGCAACAACATATTTGTATTAGCTAAAGTGACACCTTTTGCTGTTGATGAAATTTATAGAAATTCTCTGAGTCAGACTTGAGACAAAAAATTAAATGAAAATTATGAGAGAAGCCGATAATAGATTTGTTTGCTGATTTATTTAAGATTGCGTCTCTGTCTACAAGGCTACTTTTTCTATCAGAATTGTCAGCTGGTGGACTAGTAGTTGGCTTAGTTTCTCAATTTCTGTTGTAAAAAACTTTATTTCTCATATGGCATATATTATGTATGTCAACGAGAGTGGGGTTGTATGTATGAAGGAGACTACTTTTTAACAAATATACATAAAACGCTTGATAAGTGCACTTTTGATATGAAACTTTTTCCAGTAATTTTTTTCATTAACCGTTTGAGAAGTTAAAGCTTGACCCTGAGCTTGAACGAAAGAGAGCACAATATGAAAGCTTCCTAAAACTATGCTATAAAAATTTGTCTTTTTCAGAAAAAATTTATTATTATGTGATTTTTGACTTCGAGGGAGATATTATTGTTCTGCGTAACTCTAAAAAAGTCAAAATAAACAAGAATTTTACTCAACTGTCGTAGCATTTAAAAACTTTATTGTTTTTAAAATTTTAATGGAAAAAGAGGGCAAACGTCTTTTCATAATTCTAGCGCATTGAGGAATCTATAAAATCAACTAGAACGCTTCCGGGAAAATTGCCAAGAAATGTATGTGGTATATAAATATTTATATATATTTATTAAGTCAAATCATATACGTAATAATCTCATGAAAGCGTTAAGTTTTCTTCATCTCTCCGCCGTGTTATCTAATCAAAACTTACAGATAATCCCTGATTTCAGCGAATTCTTGGCGAAAATTCTAACACAACTAATTTGTTTGAATTAATAATACCAGATTAAGTTGCTTTGCTTCTTGTTATTTTTATTTTTATTCTTCCACCACTCACCTCACCAAACTCCCTTGCAATATGAGCGCTGACAAAGAACGGGAACTTTGTAACTTGCGGAATAAATAATGATAAATAGAAAACGCTGATAAAAATAAAGTGAAAAATACGCAAGTCAGCGCTTAAGTTGTTGTAAGGCTGTTGATTGTTGCTTTCGCAGAACCTTTTCGCATTGTACTCGGCTGTGAAAATAATTGAAGCGGCTTTCCGAACGCAATTTAGGTTAGTGTGCCTGTGTGTGAATGCAGGTGCGCGTGTATGCCGTATATTTGTAGTGGTACGTCTGTGAGTATTTGGAAGCCGCTTATGCAAATACTATAAATATGTAAATAATGAATGCAAAGCACAAAGACCAAAATACAAGCGAAACATGAAAACAAAAATAAAACAGGATCAAAAGATAACGGAAGTAAAAAAGAAAGGCAAAAGTGTGGGGCGAAATTGTAAGAAGCACGCTTCTCCCGGTTGAAAAACGAAGTAATTCAAAGGACGCCAAAACTACGACAAAGATAAACAAAGGCAAAACAGGGGCAGACAAAGCCGCTTTAAAGGCTTGATGGCAGGCATTTTGAGCAGGCGGCTTTATGAGAAGAGGGGTGTATGAGAGGTGGTGGCAGAGCGTGAATGCTTAAACATTCATGCAGGTGTCAACAAGAAAATGTAATAAATTTTATAATATTTTTTATTGAAGTTGCACAAAAAAACGAAAATCTGTGCGAAAGTAAAGTGAAAGTTGTGCAGCCGGTTGAGCAATGAATTTAAAAGTAATTTAAAGTATCATTATAGTACGGAAAAAAGTTGTAGCTGAAAATTTGCAAAGTGTGAATGAATAAGAAGATTTTTCTTTTTATTGGGCACAGGCAGACAAATTTGTAAGAAGGCTGGAAGATCTCAAGTAATATTATATTAGCAGTGTTGGTTGTTGTATACAGTAAAAAAACTGAGGACAGGAGAAACACTTGAGAAAAAAGAGGAATTTTCTTGTAAGGAAAAATTCATACAGAAGTGAGTTTCAAAATATTAAAAAATATTTGGATGCATTAGGTTATCTTACGGGCAAGTAATTTGGATTATTTGGACTGTGGATAAAAATTCAAATTGATTCAAGCACTCTGTGAAACATTCACATGCCACAAATGAAACTTGAAACCGTGCTAAAAACAGATTTTCACTGATATTTTCCAACAGAAATATTTTATGCTCATTTTTATTCCAGAACTTTTTTTCTATATCTCCTTCCGATTTCCATATTAGAACTATAATAATATGGAAAGGAATGTGGCGTAAGCCTATCTGTTACCTAACCGTTACCTATACAATACCTATTTTCTCCATTAACTCAAATTCAGTCACCATTCCAAATAAAAAGAGAATTATTTCATAAAGCATTTAAACTCTCACTCATTTGCCGGTTATTCCTTACTGTATGTATATTTAATTTTATATTTTCATGCACTACGCCCGTATTTACTTTGGCGCACTTCTGGTACAAAGCAACTGACAGCTGTTGGAAACATAATTTGCTCACTTTGTGCTCGTCGTCTGCGCTATTCTTTGCCGTATGAAGGACGTCTGCATAAATTGTGTTTATTTCATTTGAAATTTAATTTCGCAAAAATACAAAAGTTATGCTATTCCATTTAGTTTTTATGTGGCAAGCGTAAATTTTAATGTTTGCGTAGATATCGTTGCAGACAGTTTTTGGTTTTAAGTTTAAGGACAAATACGCCGAAACTATTATTCTACTGCAAGTATTTTACTACAATAAAATGCAATAACATTTTCACAAAGAACACTTGTTAGATACGAAGTGGGTTCTGAAATTTTTTAACAAAAATTAGTACATGTTTTTGAAGAAATAGATGCTGGCTCGATATTAAGTAGTACCAGTATCAGACGAACTAGGCCTTACACTTAAAGTAAATGTTCACTATCTAATAATCATATCTTATTTATGTTTTAGCTATCTTCGATTCTCCAAACTTACAGTAAGTAGCGAATCGAACAACCAACTGGTATAAATCTTATATACTGGTATAATACAATAGAAATGGAATATCTAGTGATTATGCTACTTCAATGCGCTATATGTTTATATGTATACAGACTTGTATCTCTACTCAGATAAATGATTATTTACATTTTTTTTTCTTAACACCAAGCTAAGGGACATTCCTGTAACTTTCGCACCCAACCAAAACCAAAATACCACAGAGTACTTTTTATAAACCTCCCCTTTACTTATGAGAGTTTTATATTTTTAATTTACTGCTCTTTTTTCCTTTTTACCGTTTTTTTTCTTTTTTTCTATTTTTTTGGAGGGTTTAATATATTTAATTTCTTTTTGAAGGTTTTACATTTTTTTCTCCTGTAACGTTTATACGATATATACATATGTATGTACTTTTATATATGCCTTCTAATGTAATGCATTCAAATATCTGGCTTCGAATTTTGTTACATAAGTTTCTTTGTTATACAATACATTTTTAAGTAGAAAGTAGACAGCAAAAGGAAATACACAATGCAAAACACAATAAAATCCGCTGGAAAAAGGAAAGAGTGGCATACACACCGAAATGCGCGTATTTCATTTAACCGTTACATTGTGGTCGTAACAGACAATTTTTGTTAGACTACATTTACATATAGCTATATATGCATATATATAAATATAAATATTTTTTTCAATCTCTTTTATCACTTGTGCTGTGAAATGAGTTTGTATTCCGTAATAATTTATTTATGTATGCCATAAATTCCTTAAAGGATTGCACTTTTCACTACCACATAGCTATGTTTTCTAGCTGTTACTTGTTTCTTGATATCTTTACAATATTTTCCGTTACCATAAAACGCTTAGGTTTGTTTTACTTGGCGCATACAGTTTGAATATTTGCTATAAAATACTTTTTATGCAGTTTTTATGCAAGTTTCGTTAAAATTTCGCTTCGAATGAAGTTTAATATAATAACATAAAATATCTCTTATTGACACAGTTGTGTCTGCTGTTGTTGTTTTTTATTTTTTGTTTTCGCGTATACCGTAAAGTGTTCTGCAAATATTTCACAAATTTGATAGCTGTAAACTCACTGCAGTTATTTATATTTTGCTCTCAAATTTTTGCCAGCGTGTCGTGCTATATTTTGTTGTAATGGTATTACATTTTTTCAAATTTTATATTATTTTCAAGAATTTGGTGAGCACTTAAGGCTTTTTGCGCCTGCTTTGTTAAATGCAACTTTAAGGAGTTGTTTGCGTAAATTTAATTTTTATATTCGCCAAATTTTAGACTTTAATTTTTTGTTTAGCTGAAAAGTTTCCAGTTAATTGAGTTGAATTATCTTATACAAAAGTAAACATAAAAGAAATAGCGTGGCTTTTGTAGTGAAAAAGCGAGGGAGTTGTTAAGTTTATCTTTTTGGAACCACCAGTAGCGGAGAAAGGCTAGTATCCCGCTAAACCTTTGCTCAAATGTTAAGGAAGCCAAATAAGAATATTACTACAATAATTTATTATTGCCACAGCAAAAGGTGGAGGTTGCGTATATAAAACAAAGACACTCTCCAATTATATATGAGTAAGCATAATATTTCTTTTATTCCACCACAATCTTGTCCCTTTACATTTCTTCATTAACCATCCACTGTAATTAAATTCAACAAAATTTTACAAAATTCAGTAATTGAATTCTACGAAATGTGGCTTGTAATCTTTAATTATGCTTGTAATAACATAATAATCCAACGAAAATCCTGCCTTTTTCACCACTCAAATATTAAATTTTCTCGAC